AAATAGGTATGTACCAGTGCCACAAAGGGTCAAAATTCTTTAGTATCAATTCATTATGATAATGACTTAAATAAAAATCAAAGTAAAAGGAAAATTCAAACCCATCCAGGCCCACCATTTTTTTTTTTAGTGACATAAAAATAATTAAATATAATTTTTTCTGTTAGAGTAATACAAATTCCTTTGATAAGAATTGAAAGATAATAAAATGTTTTTCCTAAATAAGTGGTTATATAGTTGGTTATATAGTGTTGTGAAATTTTTAAAATAGAAAAAAAAAGTAATTATTTAAATAATTTTTTAGGCCCTGTTTATCAATAATTTTGAAAAAAAAGATTAAAAATACTAATTCAACAGTCAGAATAAATAAATGCGTCTTCAAATCAGCACAAATTATTCCTTTACAAAATAAAACTAATTTGTAATTTTTAATCAAAAACTTCGGAAGATAAAAAATAATATAAAATTTCACCTCAGGGGAGGACTAAGCCAATTCCCCTAGGCCTACGAGCCGGTCCAGTCACCTTCACTGCACTACGCACCGTAGCCTGAAAAAGCCCTACTTACCCCGCGACGTAAAATCCATAAATCAATTATTCGCCTAGCGCCCATACAAAGACGTGGGAAAACGCACCTATAATCTTTCAAAAATCCGGTTGGTATAAAAAAAAAATTACGATAATATAGGCGATCAAGGTGACATTTTCGAGCTCTTGACATGATGGATCTCAAAGTCATGATCGCGCATGTCACAGGGAAACCAAAAAGTTCGAAAGTTCAACGGTCATGTCAGGGTTCGTTTTCATTTGTAAACAACCAAGATGGCGCTGACGAAGTTGATAGCCACGTTTTTTTTTCAGCCACAAAAAAAATAAATTTTACGTGGAAATATGAGGATATAATAACAAAAACTGGTACAGTATGTATATTGAATATATATTTATATTATAGGAAAGTGTCAGATTTGTTACTTTTTGAAAAAAAGTGTATTTTTAGACGATTTTATTCATCAGTGTTGACGGCGGCGCCCGTTCAAGGGTATCATATTACAAAAATAACGATCATATTTCATATTTTTGATTACTCTAATCATTCAAGTTAATTAAAAAGCACCAAGAAACATTTTTTTATAAAAATTTTTGATATTTTCTTGAATATTTAATGAAAATACATGCACACATTACTGCACATACTTTTTTTTATATAATATTGTTAATTAATTAATTAATTACTGACGATAATTAGAGAGCGCTTAAAGCGCTTATGGGACTGAAGGGGTTATAACAAAGATTATAAAAGGACTTACATACATTTAAACTGTTGCAATATACCGGTACTGAACGTATAGTAACACGTGAGATGAGGTTGTCACGGCGATTCTTGCTGGTTGCTATGCTGGTAGTACGACGCACTGTCGTTAATTGTCAGGTCGGCTTGCAATTATCCTTGTACAGATTTTCAGTAGATAGGCCTAGGCTCAATATGAAGTACGGTTCGAAAATCTGCTCTAGTTCAGTAAAATGTTTGAGTTGACTATTAGTTAGTTTGTTTGAAAGTTCCTTGTCTATCTACACGGCTGATTCACGTCACTAACGTGACGTAACACAGCACATGGTACCTCCTTGGATGACGCGACGGAAATTGTTAACTTATACAGGAAACTGTGACCTAGCCTAACCTTTCAGTAGTTACTGCAAGGTTTGGCTATATTTGGCTAACTGAATTGTTTGAGTGCGAAACCGTCCTACTAC